AATATGTATATATATATATATATATATATATATATATATATATATATATATATATATATATATATACAAAAAAAAGTTAAGTAGCCTTTGTGTCAGTCTTATGACCTGTTATGTGCTGTTATTTGTGCTCTTACAGGACGGCTGATTGACCAGCAGAATAAAATTGGGAAGGATGAAATGCTACAAATGATTCGACATGGAGCAACACACGTGTTTGCCTCTAAAGACAGTGAACTAACAGATGAAGACATCAACACCATTCTGGAAAGAGGCGCCAAGAAGGTGAGTGGACACAAACACAGACTAGACTGAAAACTGTGAAGTTGGTTTTATTTTACTGGTAAACTTCATAATAACTTTAGATTCAAGTTCCGAAAACATTCATATTCAAACTTGGATGAATAAAAACCCATCAGATTTCCTTCACAATCACATTATGAGAATTTTTCACTCTTACACTCCAGTTGATTCTATATAACCCTGTTGAGCTCTCTTTGATGGCTGTTTTCCCACTCAGACGGCGGAGATGAACGAACGCTTGAAGAACCTCGGTGAGAGCTCGCTGAGGAACTTCACCATGGACACAGGTTGCACCGAGACCAGCCTTTACAACTTTGAGGGAGAGGATTACAGAGAGAAACAAAAAGTTAGTGTGGAGGTTTATCGGGTGGGAATCGATTCATACTTGTGTATTAAGCAGCACTGAGGTGCATCTGAGTCTATCGGTGTGCATTTGGCAGCTTTTTAAGCTTTGCACTTTTATGTCACAGACTGTGAGATTTTATGTGAAGCTGAAAGCATGTGTGTGTGTGTTTAAGTGTGTGTTAAAGAATTCTTTGTGTTGTGCAGCTAAGTTTGATCGAATGGATCGAGCCTCCTAAGAGAGAAAGGAAGGCCAATTATGCTGTAGATGCTTACTTCAGAGAAGCACTGCGAGTCAGCGAACCAAGAGCCCCAAAGGTAATATGTGCATGGTTTAGACACTCTGAAATGATTTTTTTGTCAGCGCTACTTATGACTGCATACTCTAATGCAAGTGCCTTTTCAGGGTGTCTGCGGGTCCTTAAAAAGTCTTAAAATGTCTTAAATAACGTTTTCCTAATATAAGGCCTTAAAAAGTCTTAAATTCGGATTCGATGGGTCTTAAATATTTTTGGTCACATTACCGCCAAAATATCTTCAGTCTGATGGACCTAATGACTGTTTACAATCATTTGGACAGACCGAAGATTTTTTCTTCCCCGCGGTAAGTTACTGCATCATCAGAGAGAATTGCAGTAAGTTAGCAGAATACAGAATACAAGGTGGCTCTGAGGCTCACTCTGTTTGTCTCGAGACTTCAGAACAAATGAGCGTGACAGCACACATAAACTCAGAAGAAACACACTGAGGTAAAAATTCAAAATGTTTAGTTTATTCATAACATGATATAGTGCGATAGAGGCTATATGTGCGAAATGCAAATACACTTAGTGCAAATAGCAATTAGATGCTATTTACACTAAGTAAAAATATTTTCTTAGCGATAGATGCTATTTACACTAAGTGAAAATAGCAGTATTTTTTAGTGATATCATATGCTATTTACACTAAGTGCAAATAGCTATTCTATTTATACTATGTTAAAATAGCAGGATATGCTGCTATTTACTTATTGCAAATAGTGGTAATTATCTGCACCTCAGCATTGTAATACATTATAAAACAGTATTCAATAATAACTTATTGAGTGTAAATTTTAATTATAATTCAAATTATTAAATGGATGCCACCTTATTGGGACAAAGCCCTCCCTACACCTACCCTAACTCTACCCGATACTTTATTTCCAACTTTTTGATTATTTCCTTCATTTTTATTAAAAAGAAATGCTTTTCTGATGTGATTTGAAATTTGAAAAGGGAGAAAAAAAGTTCGCTAAAAGGCAGATTCGAACCCGCATCGATCGCGTCAAAAGGAGTAGTCTATGACACACGCTTTACCATCTACGCCACGGAGTTAGTGTAAATAGCCTCTGCCAACAAGGCGGGCTATTTGCACTTAGTGTACACTCCAATTTTTTTTTTTATTCCCAACAGTTAAACAGTCGCCCACAGTTGCTGCAGCACCCCCACTTCCCGCGCCTATGTATACAAATGTAATATTGATTTTTTACAACAGTTCAATAAACTAGAGGTTTTATTAAGAGACTTATGTTTTAGACACCATATTGCCTGTTTTTACACTATTTCGCCAACAAAAATAATTCCAAACAAAGCCACAGCGCTGTTTTGCCTCTTTGAGCAACATGACAGCTTTTTGTTCTTGAATGAATCAACCGTTTAAAGGATTCGTTTCAGTCGCAATGACTCACTTATTAACAGCGACTTGCTGCCACCTTTTGGTGGTTTTAATTTCACATTTAAAGTATCTTTTCATTTTTTAAATTATTTCAAATATCAGTATTCTTGTCTTATTCTAATTCACTGATTAAATGTAAGAATTTGACTCAAAAGATAATGCACACTTATAGAAAAATGGCCTTATAAAGGTAAAATGCCCATAAAAGGTAAAAATCCATTTAAACTTATTGGAAAAGATTAATTTCTATTTGACCACCATACAGAATATGAAGAATATCAAAAACTTTAGGAGTCAGCTGTCCACGAAAGTCCTTAAGATACCAGCATGATAACACACTCAATCAGTTGAATGAATGACTCAATGACTCACTCATTAAGTGACTTACCGCCACTTACTGGTAGTTTAGTTTAGAAGTATGTTGAAAAGTATGCATTTTTCCCCTCAACATTTCTTATTTGTATATTCATAAATGCATTTCAAACATTAATCTCATAACATTATTTATTGCAGTTGTAATTATTGTTATTTGCATTGTAAATTATTTAATCTGACTGGTAGCAGAACTATAGTGTATATTGAGTTTATTGATCAAATAATTTGACAAGTAAGATGATGCATACATCTAAAAAGGTTAAAAATAGGCCTTTGTAAAGGTAAATATGCAGATTTAAGTATGTGAAAGCTGATAGAACATGATGAAAATATTGCTTCAGAATAAATTGTTTACCAAAAATCTCAGTGATGCAGTTATTTTGCAGGGATATTTTTGTATGGAATATTGTCTGCTGACATTAAAAGTTCACTGTATATCGTAGTAATAAATATCATTTATTACAGCAATGATATTTTGTTTTCTTTTTAATTTATACACATTAAATATTACATATATGTATGTAATAAAATGTGTATTTCCATTACAGGTTTAGGTCTTAAATTTCATATAAGGTGGTATTAAAAAGGTCTTAAAAAGTCTTAAATTGAACTTGTTCATGTCGGTAGAAACCCTGCTTGTACACAACCCTACTACACAATAAATAATGCACTCAGATCACTGTTTTCATCAGACTGACAGCTGGACTAGAGTCAGTGAGTTAAAGTAAATGTAGAAGTAACTCAGATGAAGGGTGCTGTGTCATCATGTATTGGAGGGATGTAATCAGGGATTGAAATTAACTTTTTCACTCAACAGCCAATTTGGCTTCTAAATTTTTAAGTTACCGGCCATTCATAACTTCTACTAGCCCAAAAAAATAAAATAAATGATCTTAAATAAACCAACAGCTTGGGGCTGTCTACACTGGGTGTGACAAAGCGACGGTTGCAAATCATTTTGTGTCAGTACTAGGGATGTGCGATATTGACAAAAAAAATTATATTTCAATATTTTCTGGAATTTTATATCGATAAAGATAATTAGACAATATTTTGCTGAGTGTGTTATTGTGCTGATATAAGGACTACCGTGGACAGCTGATTCCTAAAGTTTTTGATATATATTTCAAATTATGTGTGGTCAGTTCACAGCATAAAAATGTATCTTTTCCAATAAGTTTAAATTGATTTTTACCTTTTATGGGCATTTTTACCTTTATAAAGCCATTTTTTCTAAAAGTGTGCATCATCTTTTGAGTAAAATTCTTACATTTAATCAGTCAATTATAATAATAATACATTTAGGCTGTTACTAAACAAATGAAATCAATATCAACAAAATTAATCTTTGCAGAAGTTGCATATGAAGTGGCATTTAGATGTATTTACACATGTTTAATGCAGCTTAGAGGGACATGGAATGCTTTAACCTGCAGTTACAAATGCATAAATAATGTTTTGATATTTTAAACATGAAATGTTGAATACTGACATTTGGAAATTATTTAAAAAATGAAAAGATACTTGAAATGTAAAATTAAAACAATTAAAACCGCCAGTAGGTGGCAGCAAATCACTGTTAAGTGAGTCATTGCGATTGAACTGAATCATTTAAACAGTTGATACATTCAGGAACAAAACACCGTCATGTTGCTCAGAGACGCAAAACATCGCTGTGGCTGTGTTTGGAATGATTTTTGTTGGCGAAATAGAGCAAAAACAGCCAATATGGTGTCTAAAACGTAAGTCTCTTGATATTAACTTATTGTTTATTGAACTGTTGTATAAAATCAATATCAAACTTTTAACCATGCTTTAAAAAAAAAGAAAAAACGGCAATCTTCGTGTGATATTGATTGACTGTATGAAATTATATAAATATATACATTTTCTGCCCCCTTATCTTGAATTATGTGATCATTCTTAATGCATGTTAATAGACTGAATCATGCAGTGAAAGAACGCACTCTAAATACGCACGTGCACTAAAGCCTGTGTTGTCTAATCAGACTTCATCACATTAGTCTCTTATTATGCGTGCACTCTGTAGGTGTGTTTTGTTTGGTTTTTGCAATATACTCATAATGTCATAATGTTCAGTATGTGCGCTAAACATGTGCAGATTTGGCTTGCATGAAGTTCCCCAAGAAATAAATGAGTGAACATATAACTTACAAAAAGTAACCCGCCAAATTGGCTAGTGATTTGACAGCGTTACCTGCCCCAGCTGATTTTTACCCGCATTTGCCGGGTTGGCGGGTGCTAATTTCAAACCCTGGATGTAATGGATAAAGAGTTGAAACACAAAGGTTGCAGGTTCAAACTCTGACTCAGAAAATGACCTCACGAACTGGATGTCCTTCTTCTGTCTGTCCTGTCACTGCTGTGCCCTTGAGAGAGACACTTAACTCTAGATTGCTCCTGAGGGACAGTTTGTTTGAATAGTACACTGTAAGTCATAAAAAACATCAATAAGAATAAAAGGGGCTGCTAAAGAAGTAAATGTAGTGTTCCAGTTCTTCTTGAATTGCTTCTCTTTTTTTTAAGATTTAATTCTGCACAGACACATGCAGCTTCTTAATATCTATAGTTGTTTTAATCAATAGTTGTATTTGTAATTTATGGTATCAGTTATATCACAGTTACTTGTGATTCTGATATATATAAAACTACCATATTTTTTATTATAAAATATATAAATATGATGTGTACAATGTTTTTTTGTGAAATGTACAATATATTTAGATTTTCTGCTCTTAAACTCACTATTTCTGACACTATTCTGTTTTATTCTATACTGGTCAGTGCTGTTATTGTTAAATAAAACTTCAAATAATCTTTGTTCATTGAAATAAATCTGAAATAATATAAATATTGAATGTAAAGCTTAAAAAATAGAAATGTTTCCTTGGCAACTAACTGAAATAAAATAAATTTAAGTTGTATTAAAATTACTTAAATTGAAACTGAAATAAAAATAATAGCTAAATATAAAAAAAGCTAATAAAATGACAAAAGCACAACAAAATGACTAAACTTACACTAAAATGAAAACTGAAAATGTAAAAATAGAAGCAAATTTAAAATAACAAATACTATAATAGTATATAAATAATACTAGAATTGCACTTATTCTGGATCAGACTGTCCCAACAATCATCAATATTATTGGAGCTAGATTCTAGAATGTTGTGAAAAATAACTGTCAAAAACCAACCATTGGAAAATTGTGTTTTGTTGGTATTTGCTAGGGCAGTGTAAACTAGCTTTAATAATGCCTTTCTAGCAAATGTGATGGAAGTTGATAGTTTATAAAGTGATAACCCTGTCAGCAAAATACTTACAGCAGGGAGCCAGTAAACCTCAATTTTAATGAATATCATTAAATTAAATTGAAAACCAAATGAGTGTTTTGATTAAAGTGAAGTGTCCACTTTCATCTGCCAGGAGCATAACAATGTTTTGTCCATATACAGTACACATCAAGTATCACACAGATGTTTGCATGAAAATATCGACACACAAGTGTATGTGGATAGATCATAAACAGTGTGTGTGTGTGTGTGTGTGTGTCTATCTGTGTGTGTGGATGTGATCCAGGCCCCTCGACCCCCAAAGCAGCCCAACATCCAGGACTTTCAGTTCTTTCCACCACGTCTCTTTGAGCTGCTGGAGATGGAGATTCTTTACTACAGGAAAACCATCGGATACAAGGTGAGCACTTTCTGTACGTCTTAATTGTATTCAATATTTGTGTACAATCTGCTCAAGTGTTTTCTGTTGAAGCATCTGATATAAAGCTGTGTGCGACTGTGTATGTGTGTTTTTTGTAGGTTCCACGTAGTCCAGATATCCCAAATTCAGCACAGGTCCAAAAGGAGGAACAAGCAAAGATAGACGAGGCAGAACCCCTCTCACCTGAAGAGACAGAGGAAAAAGAGAAACTACTCACACAAGTACACAGAAGTCCCCTCCCAATCACTCATATATACACACTTATAAATGTGCCATATACAGAGCTCAGTGCTATAAAATAATATGTTTGTTTTTACCAGGGCTTCACAAACTGGAACAAGCGTGATTTCAATCAGTTTATTAAAGCTAATGAGAAGTATGGTCGTGATGATATTGACAACATCGCCAGAGAGGTGGAGGGCAAGACGCCGGAAGAAGTCATGGAGTACTCCGGTACAATACACACCAGATCAACTATACACAAGCCATACATCTAAACATCTATATAAATTACACACTAGTGATATGCAAACTACATATTTTCAAAATCCGCTAGTTGGTAGATTGCTTTAACTAAATGGTCTCAGGGAAACCTGTATAATTTTACTGGTTTTAGGGTTCATGTGACCCGACCAAATAAAAAAAAAAAAAGTAAAAACAAGGATGAAATATATAATGGAGTATGAATAATAGAGTATATATATATAAAATATATATTAAAATATTAAACATAGTAAGATGAGAAATAATGACGGCAATAAAAAATAATAAATGTAAAATGTATTTAATATTATTAGAATAAAATATTATTATTGTTACTGTCATCATTGCTCATCTTATTAATTTCAATACTTAATTTATAGTGTGAACTGTCAGCATGCTAATTAAAGCATTAAAAAAAAAAATCTAATTGTCTGTTGTGACCCAATTCGTATTGTACACACACACACACACACATACATACATAAAATGCACAAGTAACTACCTTACACTAGTCTGAACCACACAAAAAATGCCTTACACGTTGTTTATCATTATAATAGCGGTGTTTTGGGAACGCTGTAATGAGCTGCAGGATATTGAGAAGATCATGGCTCAGATAGAGCGAGGAGAAGCTCGCATCCAGAGACGCATCAGCATCAAAAAAGCCCTGGATGCCAAGGTCAAATTTTCAAAAACTTGCCATGGAATTCAATTATGTTGTTGACAGGCCAGTTTTTTTTTTAATGGCTGCTGAATTATGATTGTGTGTTGGCTTTATTATTCCTTGCTTTCGATGATGAGCAGCCTCAATATTAGGCAATGAAGTCACAGCCTTATCACATGAAGCAAGAAACTTTAAGAGAAATTTTCATTTTTGATACAGTAGTAATTAGTAAATATTACTTGTTTGATGATGTGTGTTTTGTGTATTTGTAGATAACGCGGTACAAGGCTCCGTTCCACCAGCTTCGTATCCAGTATGGCACAAACAAAGGAAAGAACTATACAGAGGTGGGTGCATGTGAGAGAGATGTGTGTAGTGTGTTTACTAAAAACTTCAAATATGGAAACTTTTCTATATGTGTGTGCCTGCAGGAGGAAGACAGGTTTCTAATTTGCATGTTGCATAAGATGGGCTTTGATAAAGAATATGTCTATGAGGAACTTCGACAGTGTGTACGGAACGCTCCACAGTTCAGATTCGACTGGTTCATCAAGTCCAGGACTGCCATGGTGAGAACTTGTTTGTGTTAGAGCCAAGACTCCCACACTCTCAGGAAAAAAAAAAAAAGGCTGTACCAAACTGTCACTGGGTGGTACCTTTTCAAAAGGTACTAATATGTACACTTTAGGTATAGTGCTAATATGTATTTTTAAAGTACTAATATGTATCATTTAGAGGTAAATAAGGTGCAAAGATGTACCTTAGTGTACTATATATATATATATATATATATATATATATACTGTATATATATACTTTTAAAAAAGGGACATTAAATGTCAATTGCAAAGCCTTTATTTAGAGGCATCGCCACATGGAAAAAAGATTCATAAAGAGTCTAAAAAGCACCTTAATTTATTATTAATGTTATATAACAGTTACAGTCAGCTCACATTAGATGTGAATTAGAAGTCTCATATGGATATATTTTCGTGGTTGTGTGTGTGAACAGGGTTTACTTGGCTTTACTTTGGGGGCAACATTGTCCCCAGAAGTGAACTGAATCTGGCAAAACTTCTGTTTGGGAAGGTCCTCAATTGGAAAAAAGTTAATAAATTCTAACCCATTAAGATGGGTTAAAATGAGTCTGTAGTGTTTATGTAAAAACAATAAAATAAAAGATAAAAGCCTATGGAACGTTCTCATTTAGACAGCCGAGTAAATGTGTATGCGTGTCAGACACAAATGCAAAAAAAATATTTAAATCACATTATATCCTGGGATCTTTTTCAGGTCATATTGGTGTGCGTGTTTGTGAAAGCATGTGGGTGCAGATGCTTGTGTGATGCCTGAAAGGAATTGTAAAAGTCAATGAGATGTGATGTATAACTTGTGCTGAGATGATGAAAGAGTTTCTTTCCATGTGTTTTGTCTGGTTTGCTAGGAGCTGCAGCGGCGCTGTAACACGCTCATTTCTCTCATTGAGAAAGAGAACATGGAGATAGAGGAAAAAGAACGCGCTGAGAAAAAGCGAAGAACACCCAAAGGACAATCAGTAATACGTCCTGTCTTCTTTCTTTTTGCTCCATCTGTTGTTGTGCTCCGTGCTTCACGTCCCCAGAGACTTTCCCTCTAGTTCAGAATCACGCTCGAACAACTGAACAAGAACAACATGCAAATGATCAAAATTCCCCTCAGATTTACTGTCCGCAGTAAAGTATAGTATATTTCACTGACGATTTCAACCCTGTCTATCTATCTATGTATCTGTCTATCTATCAGAGCATGTGCATGGTGAGTTGCAAGATTTTGCCTGGAGCGAGGAGCGTTCCCCCCTCCCCCCCTTTTTTTGACTGTTCTCTCTTGCTTCAGTACTGTTCCATCACATGCTAACTGCCTATAATGTCAGCAAGATTTACAATCTGTTAGTCAGGGTATAGCTCCATATAATTTGGACAGGAATGAAATGGAGGCAGTGAGGGATAGAAGTACAGTGTGTTCTTTGGATTGTACTGTTGTTTAACAGCATACTAATTGTTCAGCTGATGAAAAGTCTTTCTGAAAGTAGACAAAAACTCCTTAAAACAGTTTTGAAAGTTGTGAACACGATCTAGGACCTTTATACAGTGTGTAACATTGTAAAGAAAATTGTTTTCATCCATGTTAAATTCAATATGGCGTCTAACCTGAATAAGGTCTATAGCGATTTTATATTATCATTATATTCAAGCTCTTCTGAAGTCAAATAATAGTTTGACATCAACATCAGAGATGTCAAAAAAGGTATATATAATTGATATATAATAGTGATATATTTAATAGTATATTGATTTACTGTCACTTTTGATCAATTTAATACTTCCTAAATGAGCAAACGTATATGAGTATATAAAAAAGATGTGACAATAAAACATTTATAATGTTACAAAAGATTTCTACTTAAATAATAAATGCTGTCATTTTTAAATTTATATTGAGCAAAGAATCCTGTAAAATGTATCACAGTTTCCACAAAAGATGTTAAACAGCACAAGTTTTAAACACTGATAATATGAAATGTTTTTTGAGCATCAAATCAGTATATTAAAATGAAGGATCATGTGACACTAAAGACTGGAATAATGGTTGCTGAATAATATGTTAAGTTGCAAAGAGCAGCATGAACAAGTTAATGTCTGATTCAGAATTATTCCTTTAAATGTTAACACAGATGAAAATGAGGACGTGAAGGGTAGATTTACAGTCTTTACAATGGAACACACTGTATAAAGTTCCTAGATGACGTAATTTTTTGAACTCACAACTTTCGATTTTTTGTTTTGTTTTGTTTATTGAAAGTTTCTTTCAGAAAGACCTTTGGTCAGCTGAATATTTGGTGTGTTGATAAACGACACACTGCACCTCTGTCCCTCAGCCTCAATTTTATTCCTGTCAAAAATTAAATATGGCAATATCCTAAGTAAGGCCTATTTTCCAGTAAAACGTCTCTAGGTTACATATGTAACCATGGTTCCCCGAGGGAACGAGACGCTGCGTCGAGTCGCTTTGGGAATGCCCTTGCGTGACCGCGTTCTGAAGCACGTGTCAAATCAGTCCAATGGAGCAGCGAGACGTCACAAGCGGGGTGACGTAAGCACCAGAAAGTATAAAAGCACATCCAGCAGAGCGCATACCAGCTTCGATGAAGTAGCGCCTGCAGGGATGTAGGGAGTATGGCAAAGAGATGCAGCATCTCGCTCCCTCTGGGAACCATGGTTACATACGTAACCTAGAGACGTTCCGCTTCAGGAACTTGAGCTGCGTCAAGTCGCATTAGGAAATGAGCGGACAGTGTGTCGATTCCTGCGACGCAAATAGATCCACTTCCGCCTGGTCAAATTCCCACCAAATGAGCTCCACCACCTCGGGGTGGAGCCTCCATCCCCCCGGGCCTCAGCCCCTGTCTCGACAGGATATCTGCCCCCTGATTTAGATACCCAGGAATTTAAACTGCTCTTAGAGAGAGGAGCTTCCTCTGAGCCAACAGAAGGATCTGGCGCGCCAGCTTGTATAAGGGGCGCGAACGCAGACCCCCCTGCCGATTAGCGTCTCTGAGATCTATCGTAACAAACCAGTCCTCGGACTGGATCTGAGATACTATCTGCTTGATAGTGAGCACCTTGAACCGAAGCCGTTTGATAGCGCGGTTCAGAAGACGGAGATCTAAGATCGGATGCAACCCCCCCATCCTTCTTCGGAATGATGAAGTAACGGCTGTGGAACCCGGACGCTCTCTCGAGAGAAGGAACATGTTCTATGGCCCCCTTCCTCAAGAGAGTATCTACTTCTTGTTCCATTACCAGAGCTTGCTCAGGGCCCACTAGTGTGGGGATGACCCTGTTGAAACGAGGTGGACGAGAACCGAACTGGATTCTGTAACCTTTTTCTACAATCTGCAGGACCCATTTTGAGATATTTGGTAGAAGTTTCCACGCTACCAGAAAATCTACTAAGGGAACCAGCCTCTCGAGGCTGGCCTCTGGTATTATTAGAGGAGCCAGTTCAGTGCCCTGAAACGGAAGACTGGCAGGGAATGACCGACCTGACTGCTGTAGCACCCTCACTTGAGGAGGCGAGCTCTCCCGTGCCGTACCGTTGCCGTTCGGCAGCTGGGAATTTCGCTCATCGGAGCTCACTGAGCCCTGAAGCACCGAGGTGGCAGGGGTATCAATGAACATCCATGTGGGCACTGAAGGAACAACCGACCTGACTGCTGTAGCACCCTCACTTGAGGGGGCGAGCTCTCCCGTGCCGTACCGTTGCCGGGCGGCAGCTGGGATTTTCGCTCGTCGGAGCTCACTGAGCCCTGAAGAACCGAGGGTGGCAGGAAGAAACCGCAGCGCGGGATTCGAACCGTGAGAGAGAGCCGCGGATCTAGCGGCTGAGGACCGAGAAAAGGACGAGCCCGTCTCAGATCCCTCCGCTAAATCCACCCGCGATCCCCACGACAACAGTCTGCGCTGTGCCTCGGCAACAGCGGGACCACTGCCAGCGGGATCGCGAGCCTGGCCGCTCTCATCAAACACAGCCAGGCGAGAGTGGAGCGTGCGCAGCGAGAGCAGCTCGCAGTGATGACAATCAGCTGCTTTAAAGCTGACTGTGCATGCTCCGCTCCTAAACAAACGACACACAAAATCGTGTGTATCCCCCGCCGCCAGATATCGTGGGCAGGGAGAAACAAGCATATATACATTTTTTTATATATGCTTGTGCGGACAGACAACAGTAAATAGACAGACACATACACAGAGCGCTACTGAAGAGCAGAAGCTGGTTTGCGCTCTGCTGGATGCACTTGCATACTTTCTGGTGCTTACGTCACCCCGCTTGTGATGTCTTGCTGCTCCATTGGACTGATTTGACATGTGCTTCAGAACACGGTCACGCAAGGGCGTTCCCAAAGCGACTCGACGCAGCTCGAGTTCCTGAAGGGGAACTGCTATGGACAAACATACATACTCTAGATTTATCTAAAAATGAGAAATCCAGTTCATAATCATTTCTACACCCTTAGTTGTAATTACATCTTTGCACCAAATACCACAAGAGCATCATTTTTAAACCACAGATCATCTGCATTCATGCTTACAGCCATTAGGGAGAGTTGTACAGGTTCCTGCACCCCACCCAGCCTTTTCCCAAATAATCATTTTGCACTGATTGTTTGTTTTATTTTATGTTAAAAAAAAATATTTCAGCCACTGATGTTGCATTTATAGCATTTATTAAAATAAGTTTTAACTGCGATACACTTAATGTGAAGGGACCTTGAAACACTAGTGTTAACAGCTTGTGCTAATTGGCTTGGAGTAATTTGTTTATCCAGCTGTACAAACGAGACACGGGTGTGCCACAGGGACACTGCGTCTCTCCGAGTAGAATGAAAGGACCGAACACAGATTTCGGAGTTTGTTGCCATGGATGCAGCTTACCTCCTGTGAATGACAGTGTTCTGAACGGCGCTTGTAATGAATCGGTTTCTTTAATTCACCTTCTATGAAACATCTGTTAGGAATCACTTCTGTCCACCATTTCCTAAGAATCATTTGTTCGACATATTCTTTGTAGGCTTGTCTGTTCCTGCATGGATGATCAATAAATCAACGGCTCCACAGATAGAACGCAAGAAAGAAAAAGAAAGAGAGAAGACCAGCATCTCCAGACAAGATAAGGCCATAAGAGGCAATCCAGTGAAATTCTGGTAAGATTTGCTTATCCTGAATTATATTTACACTGCAAAAGGATTTAAACAAATATAGCACGAAAGTTGGGTTTACACTAGCCTCAGGCGGCACAGCCACGCATCATCAGCAGTCTGTTCACCGCCTGATGCATATTGCATACAAAAACTGCAAGTGGTATAATTCATTTCAGATAAACATGCCTAAACAACATGTAAAAAAAAAAACCGGTGATTGATGGATTGCTTTTTAATGTCAGATGTCAAATGATCTCTTGCTTACTAATTGGTAGTTCTTGGTCAGACAAAGCTGCAGTGAGGACTAGACTTTATGCTACACTTGGCTACACTTGTATTTACACTGGAATAGGATTGAATCAATACCAGAATTTTGGCTTTAGAAAGATTTAAGCCTCAGGTACCTAGATATCAATATTAAAGTAATGCCCACAGAGGTTTTCAACCTTTCTAATGGCACGGACCCCCAAATATTATGATCCCCCTTGAGACCCCTTCATAAAATATAAAAGACAGCTACAGTATATAATTTCATGTATAAAGACAAAATTTAAATTGTGACAAATAAAATATATGTATATCTTTCTATTAATGTTGTGAATTTCTGACTAGTCCTTACATTTTAAATGATTATCATTAGATTTTTTTTACACAGTTTTCCCTCTAAATTTTTCGATGGGCTTCCTAGCACTCCTTTGCACTCCCTTGGGGATCCCTGTACCTTATATGTACATTTTACATATAAAAATGAAACATAGTCCTGGCCAACTCTACATAAAACAACAGCAACAATAATAACAATACTATCATTATTATATTTAATAATAATGTTAAATATATTAATTCAATAATCATTTAAACAATAATAAGTAATCCAATAAAATGTATAATATATAAAATGTATCGCTATAAAAACAACAACTACAACAGTAATAATATAATAAATAATTAATTATTATTATTATTATTATGTACACCTGATGTATATGAGTAATGTAATGCTTATGTAGCTTATTCTGTTACAAAATGCTTGATTGGTTGGATTTTTTAAATAGACAAGAAAAGCCTTGAGGACTTTGTAGTGTAGTATAGTCCTAATTATGACTTATGAACTAATCATACTCTATTAATATATTTAACTAATCCATAGTCCTCCATCATGGATTTTGTATTTATCATATTCTG